CACACACACACACGCACACAGACACACACACACACACGCACGCAGACACACACACGGGAAGAGGCCAGAAACAGCCCCCACCCCCACCCCAAACCTGCCCTCAGTGCTCTAGCCACCAGCATAGAGACAATGTGGTTTCCTCTGGGTTGTCCTTCCTGCCTCCAGCTGCCAGTTGCCCCCTCAGGCCCTTGGGCCCTGTCTCCTTCATGTCCTCTGACCATGGCCTTGCAGGAAGCGAGGGGCAAGATTCTGTGTGGCCCTGGGTCACTCACTTTGCGGCTTGTGCTTACCCACGGACTCCCCTCCCACCCCAATAGACGCGGCCTACGTCTCATCCTTCGTTTCCTTCTCCATGCCTGACCCACCTTGCATCGCTTCCATGGACAATAGAAAAGAGCCAAGCTGTTCTCCAGCCCAGATTGGCCAGGACATGCCGGTTCTTTGTTCTGGGCCCAGAGCTGTGCAGCGGCTTCTCCCCCTCCTCACCGGGACTGTACCTACGCTGCACCTGGAGGAGACATGGACAGCCTTAAGCATCCTCATCCATGTTTTGGGAGTCTTTGAGGGTGTTGTTGTTTTGTTTTTGCACAGTATTATGATTTGAACTCAGGACCTCGCACTTCATAGGCAGAAACTCCACGTAAGTCACATTTCCAGCCTCTTTTGCTTAATTTTTCATGTAGAGTTTTGTGTGTTGCTCAGTCTGATTTTGCCATTCAATCCTTCTCAGCCTCTGGTATCCAGGATTACAGCTGTATACTGCCATGCCCAGTTTGTTCATGGAGTTAGGTCTGAAACGCTTTTTTGTCCAAGTTCGCTTCAAACTGTGGTCCTTCCGGTCTGCTAAATGACTGGGGTTATGGGCAGGAGCCACTGCACACTGGGAAATGGAGGCTTTCTGTGTGCATTAGATTTCGGTGGGATACACTTGAAACTTAAGTTGAAGGATGCCCATCTTCGCTGTGTGGCTTCTCCTTGAATACTAGCAAGAGTCACCCCATCCTGGAGAAAGTAGTCAACCAGATGTTAGCCGGTCTGGCCTCGCTGAGAGCAACCTCCATGGCTGGCCTCCACACAGCTTTCCCAGCAGGCACTGCTGTTCTGGCTGGTGCAAGAGGTTCTTCGTTCCTCATTAAGATTTTGATCTCAGTAGTCACCCTGAGGCCCCCAGAGGCTTGTGACAGGGACCTGCGCCCAGAGCTCTGCCTCCCTGATGGTAATTAATGTTTACACGACATGACAGGCACAAAATGGAATCTCTTCCAGCCCTGCCAAACACCCTTCATGCCCTGATCTCCACTCTCACAGTGTCTGAAAATTAATTTGCCTTGAACAAACGGTGGGTTTTCCTCCATTTATTTGTACAGTTTCAGTGACCGAGAAGAAATGTAAGACTGAATGTCACCCTTCCATTCGTTCGAGTAATTGAATCTGCTAATGGCACAAACCGGGCCCTGTTTAATGATTTGAAGAAATGGAGAGAAGGAGGGAAATACGGAGACGATGTTGGAGAGGACCAGTGTCTTCCTGCCAAACACCCTGGCCATACCCAGTTTGGAGACTTGAGCATCTTAAAACTTAGCAGGGAGTTACAGATACAGTTGAAGTAATTCAGTAGTGTGGTGTGTTATTCAGGACATACAGCACAGTCAGCATTGGCTTACGAAGACTTTGTCTTTGAGCAGTGGGCACTGCTCGCAACATGAAATCACTGTATCCCCAGTCAAAGGAATGGGGTGTCGCCTGCCTCTAGGCTTTGCAGTACTGAATGTTTAGTGAGCTCCCCACTTGACAGTCAAGGTCATTCTCATTTGGCCTCCATCTTCATACAGTAGATGGGAGGGTGGTGGCTCTGAGAAAGAGTAATAGAAAATAAGGGTATGTCCATTTCTTGATGATATGGATCAGACATGCACAGAGGTAAAGATCAAGGATTGAATGGATGGATGGAGAGATGGATGAATGGGGGAGGTGGATGGATGGATGGTTACATTGGCTAATGACTCACGACCTAAGGGTTTTCTTGATGCATTTGAGACGTGGTCGGATTCAGTACAGTAATGACTTTGCAGTGAGTTAGCTGGGTCAGAGCGCTCTACAGTGTAGAGAGGTGTGGAGAGCAGAAGCAGGGGTGCAGAATTCTGTTGCTCTTCCTGTTCCTCCCTCCTGCTCTAGTAGAGCCAGTGAGCCGAGGAACCACAGACAGTGATTGCACGCCATGTTGGGTGCTTGTCTCAAAGAGTGAACATCCACCTGGCTCCAGGGTAGGATGTGGCTTTTTTGTTCTACTTTGTTTTCTTCATCCAATTTCAGTCAGTTGTCTTGGAGTGAAGGGGTAGAACATGGCGCCCTTCCTCTTTGCCTTTCCAGGAACAGTGTGTATTCATCACAGGAAATACAAGAAGTGTCAAGTGCCGTGGCTACATGCAGGTGCACACCATAGTGTCGGGGCGCATCGCTGATGACAGGGTGCAGGTGGCCGTGTAGGTGTGGGGGTCACTGGTCTGTGCAGGCTGGCTGTGCACATGGACAGTTTTCTGTTTTGCTGATCGTGCTATGCATTGTTTTACACAGTAGCCATTGTTGTCCAAGCCGTCACCCCTCATGTGAAGCATACCCCACTGTTGTTTGGAGGAAGCACTGAGCTTTTTTCTGTGTGCAGAGAGCTGTTGGCATGACTTCCTTCCGTTGCACACGGCCCTTGGTGGTCTCCTGTATGGTGGGAACGTTGTGAGGTCTCACCGCTCCGTGAGTCCGTCTCATGCCCCAGGCCGTTTCATGGGGCAATAAATACCGCACTTTCCTTTGACTCTCGAGATGAACTATGTGGCCAGCACACCCGTGGGCACACACAGTTCCCCAGAGTGCAAAGCCCCGGTGGACAGGAAGGGAGAGACATGTGGTGTAAGGTGTTCACACCGCTCTGAGCACTCTCCTGCACCCCTGATGCTTTCCCCAGCCCTCCCCCCCTCCCCAGCAGATCAACATCGAGATGCTCTGTTAAATAGAGGTGCTGAAAATGCAGTCCTAGTCATTTATTTCCCTTTTATGTGCCAGTACGGCTTGGCACTTTGAAATGTGAACTCGGGCTTGGACTGTATCTTGACTTTTTTCTCAAGGCTGGTGCTCTACCACTTGAGCCACAGCTTCACTTCTCACTTTTTGCTAGTTAATTGGAGATAAACATCTCAAGGACTTTCCTTCCTAGGCTGCCTTCAAACTATAATCCTCAGATCGCAGCCTCCTGAGAGTAGCTAAGATTACAGGCGTGAGCCACTGATTGGTGCCATCCCCATTTTCTTATTGTTTCTCCAACTTTGGGTCTCTAATTTCAAACTTTTTGCAAAGACCCCACAGGCAGAACCTTGAGTGTCTTGTATGGATATTTCCAGGGCCTTTAAACACATAAGCAAATGTATATACTTTTCTTCCGTTTCCACAGAGGGCTTGTGCATCCACTCACCCCTGGCGCCCACCCCAGTAAATGTGGCAATGTCAGAGGGCTGTGTGTCCCCCAAGGAAGCACAAAACAAACCTATTTCCCTTTATCTACCAGTACAAAAACATGTAAGTCCAGTTTATTGATACATATATTACAGACGGTAAATTCATCCTTTTACCATGTGGACCACGCAGTATAATTTGTCATCTGTTTCTTTTGTGATGAGCATGGTGTGTTGTGACTACAAGGAGAGAGATTGCTCAAGCCCCAGTGTGCAGTGAAGACAGGGCCGTTTGCTGGTGCTGAGCTCCATCCGCCCCAGCACATTTCAGCATTTGGCAAATTCTGGGCACACTGTACAAGACAAGATGAAGTTGTGAAATGTGTCATGGTCATTGTGGGAGATGGAAAGTCAGCAGGTGGGAAGTCGATCGACTTCCTGAGCAAATAGACAGAAGGATGTCGGGGATGAGCTGTGGAAATGTGCGGCACCCATGGCTAGGGAAACATGTGAATGCCCCCAAGTCCTCGGGTTTGAACTCAGGGCCTGAGCACTACTCTCCCCAAGTTTTTGTGCTCAAGGCTGGTACTATACCACTTGTGGATTTGGGGGGGGGGGAGTGCTTGTTAATTGGAGATAAGAGTCTCATGATGTTTTCTGCCCAGGCTGGCTTTGAACTCAATCCTCTCAGATCTCAGCTTCCTGAGTAGCTGGGAATACAGGCGTGTGCCACAAATGCCCAGCTAAGGGGTCTTTTGATCTTTGAAATCTACCCAAGTACATCTATTTTCTGTATAGGCTTGAGGAATTTTTTATTTTTTTTATTTTTTTTATTTTTTTTGTCGGTCGTGGGCCTTGAACTCTGGGCCTGGGCGCTGTCCCTCAGCTCTTCAGCTCAAGGCGAGCACTCTACCACTTGAGCTACAGTGCCACTTCCGGTTTTCTGGTGGTTTATTGGAGATAGGAGTCTCACAGTCTCTCCTGCCCGGGCTGGCTTTGAACTGCGATCCTCAGATCTCAGCCTCCTGAGTAACTAGGATTACAGGCGTGAGCCGGCTGGGCTTGAGGAATTTGACCTCCATTCCTGATCTCAGCAGGGACCCCACAGGGCCCAAGGGAATGCCGTAAAAGGTGGGGGTGAGCTGGGCACCTGTGGCTCAGGCCTGTAATCCTAGCTACTCAGGAGGCTGAGATCTGAGGGTCGCTGTTCAAAGCCAGCCCAGGAAGGAAAATCCTTGAGACTCTTATCTCCAATAAACCACTAGAAAATCAGAAGTGGCGCTGTGGCTCAAGCAGTAAAGCACCCTCCTTGAGCTGAAGAGCACAAAGACAGTGCCTAAGAGTTCAAGCCCCATGACCGACAAAAAAAAAAAAAAAAAGATGGGGGTGGTGAAAGTGCAGTTGACTCTCTGGCCAGTGTAAGCCTATGTTTGACCCTCTGGCCCCAGGTAGTGCTGGGTGTTTGTCCCAGACAGGGACAGGGTCGGCCAGCTTCCTGTTTGCCTTTCTCCCGCGCCCCTGCTCACTCAGGCCTTGTCTCTGCTCTCCTCCTTGCAGACCCCGAGCTGGGAGTTGGCACACTGCCCGAGCGTGGCGGCCAGGATGCTGGGCCCATTGTCCCGAAGATATCAGGCCTAGAGAGGAGCCAGGAGAAGAGCCAGGACTGCTGCAAAGAGCCGGTCTTCGAGGCCCCGGTGCTCAAAGACTCCTGTCCTCCGGTCCCGCCAGCCCGGCCCCAGCCCCCGGCCGAGCCCTCGCTCCGGCCACCATCGCGGGACCCCAACGTGCAGCGCCCCGAGGCCACGCCCCAGCCTCCTCCTCCTGCCTCACAGCCTCCACAGGGACCCCCGGAGGCCCAACTGCAGCCGGCCCCGCAGCCTCAGGTGCCCCGGCCCCCAAGGCCCCCATCCCCTGCCCAGCTGCCACACCACAGCCTCCCAGTGGTGCCGGCCCACCCAGCCCAGAGCCTGGCCCAGCCGCTGTCCGCCTACACCAGCAGCAGCCTGAGTGTCAATAGTTTAAGGTGAGTCCCCGCCCTGCTGAACCTGGTCCCATCCTCCTGCTGACTCTCATGCCCATCCCCTGCTGATCTTCATCCCTGTCCTCCTGCTGACCCTCATCCCCACCCCCTGCTGATCCCCATCCCCACCCCTGCTGACCCCAATCCCCACCCCTGCTGACCCTCATCCCTGGCCTCTGCTGACCCTCATGCCCATCCCCTGCTGATCTTCATCCCTACCCCCCTCCTGACACTCAGCCCCACCCCTGCTGACCCTCATCCCCATCCCCTGCTGACCCTCATCCCCACCCCCTGCTGACCCCCATCCCTGTCCTCCTGCTGACTCTCATCCCCACCCCCTGCTGACCCTCATCCCTATCCCCTGCTGACCCTCATTCCCACCCCTGCTGACCCTCATTCCCACCCCTGCTGACCCTCATCCCTGTCCTCCTGCTGACCCTCATCCCCACCTCCTGCTGACCCTCATCCCTACCTCCTGCTGATCCTCATTCCCACCCCCTGCTGATCCTCATTCCCATCCCCTGCTGACCCTCATCCCTGTCCTCCTGCTGACCCTCATCCCCATCCCCCTGCTGACCCTCATTCCCACCCCCTGCTGACCCTCATTCCCATCCCCTGCTGACCCTCATCCCTGTCCTCCTGCTGACCCTCATCCCCACCCCCTGCTGACCCTCATCCCTACCCCCTGCTGACCTTCATTCCCACCTCCTGCTGGCCCTCATCCCTACCCCCTGCTGGCCCTCATTCCCATCCCCTGCTGACCCTCATCCCTGTCCTCCTGCTGGCCCTCATCCCCACCCCCTGCTGACCCTCATTCCCACCCCTGCTGACCCTCATCCCTGTCCTCCTGCTGGCCCTCATCCCCACCCCCTGCTGACCCTCATCCCTGTCCTCCTGCTGACCCTCATCCCCACCCCCTGCTGACCCTCATTCCCACCCCTGCTGACCCTCATCCCTGTCCTCCTGCTGACCCTCATCCCCTCCCCTTGCTGACCCTCATCCCTACCCCCTGCTGACCCTCATTCCCACCCCCTGCTGACCCTCATCCCCATCCCCTGCTGACCCTCATCCCCACCCCCTCCTGACCCTCATCCCCTCCCCCTGCTGACCCCCATCCCTAATCGCCCCTCGTAGCTGGCTGCGCGGACTGAGATCCTCCTCCCGGGAGGGAGGCACTTGTAGGCCCATCTTGTCCTCCAGCTCTGCAGGTGCCCCTGAGAGAGGCACAAACGTAAAGGAAGGGAAAGGACTGGGATGTGGCTCAAGTGGTAGAGCACTTGTCTGGCATGCAGAAGGCCCTGGGTTCAAAACCAGAGGCTGGCTTATGGGGAAAAGAAAGTGGGAGTGACCTGAGGGGTTCAGGTACAATCCAGACACCGGGATGCATAAACTACCAAAAAATCAGAAGTGCTGCTGTGGCTCAAGTGATAGAGCACTAGCCTTGAGCAAAAGAAGGTCAGGGATAGCACCCAGGCCCTGAGTTCAAGCCCCAGGACCAGCACCTTGAGTGGCTGTAGAGAGCGAGGCCTCCTCCCTTCTTCTAGGCAAGCCACGCTCATGGCGCTCTTCTTCCTTTAATAGCAGCAGCAGGAGCAGCACTCCGGCGAAGACCCAGCCCGCCCCTCCGCACCTCTCCCACCACCCTCCTGCCTCCCCCTTCCCACTGTCCCTGCCGAACCACAGCCCCCTGCACAGCTTCACGCCCACCCTCCAGCCCCCCACACACCCGCATCACCCCAATATGTTTGCCCCACCCACGGCTTTGCCTCCTCCACCGCCGCTGACGTCAGGGAGCCTGCCGGTGCCCGGACACGCAGCCGGGGGCACCTACTCAGGTAGGTTGATGGGCAGGGCACCTGTTCAGGTGAGGGGGGGCACCTGCTCACCCAGATGCATGCCTTGAAGTGACAGCCCAGCTTCCCAGGCCTCTATCTTGTTTCCCCCAAGATCTTGGTAGAGGCCCCAGGTTAAGATCTGGTCTGTGCTAGGCACTGGTGGCTCAACGCCTGTAATCATAGTTACCAGGAGACTGAGATCTGAGGATCACAGTTCAAGCCTGCTGAGGCAGGAAAGTCTATGAGACTCGTATCTCCAGTTAACCAGCAAAATGCCAGAAGTGGAGCTGTGGCTCAAGTGGTAGAGCACCAGCCTTGACTGGAAAAGCCAGTTGAAAGTCTGAAGCCCCAAGCACTGGAACAACAGGAAGAAAAACAAAACGGATTGGTTTTTGTGATGCATGACCTTTCTCTGCTGGGAAGTTCTTGTGATCCTGCGTCCCCGAACTTCAAAACCAGCCCCAGTGTTAGTTACCCCTGTGTCAGTCAGGCCGGAGTCACAGGGCCCTCTGGTCCTGTTCCTCCACCGGCACACTGCTGCAGGGTGGCTGGCCACTGACTCTTGCAGAGGACATGGGATCATTGTCCCATCAGCCACGCAAGCCTGGTGTCCACCGCTGACCCCTGTTTGCTCACTGAGACATCTGGCAAGAACGTGGCACACTCAGAGGCCCACGGCCTGCCCCAGCCACGCCTGGCAAGAATGTGGCACCTGCAGGGCCCAAGGCTTGGGAAGCCCACTGTGGTCTCTGGGCAGCTGGTGGAGCGGCCAAAGGTGATCGATGCTCATCTCCTTTGCTTGTGTTCATCACCAGATGTCTCCGGCCAGCTCCCATCCCGCCAGCACACCTCCTGTGAAGGAGATGTCCATGGTAACCCCGGGTGCCCTCCACAGCTCCCTCCTCTTCTCTTCCAGAGCAAGACATCCTGCGGCAGGAACTGAACACACGCTTCCTGGCGTCGCAGAGTGCTGACCGTGGTGCTTCCCTGGGCCCCCCGCCCTACCTGCGGACCGAGTTCCACCAGCACCAGCACCAGCACCAGCACACCCACCAGCACACGCACCAGCACACGTTCACGCCGTTCCCCCACGCCATCCCGCCCACCGCCATCATGCCCACGCCAGCACCTCCCATGGTGCGTACCCCAGGCAGAAATGTGAGGACAAGCGGGGTGCAACGGGGGGGCGTGGGCAGGCTGCATGGGGAGGGCCCTGCCCCGGGGCCCCTGGCCTCACCTGGCCCTGCCATGGCTCCACCCAGCCACTTAGGGAGCTCACAGGTGGCATTGTTGTCCTGGGCATCCCGGGCACTGTCACCCCGTGGTGGCACACATGTCCCTAGAGCAGTGGGGGAGAAGGGTCTGCAGGCTGTGGGAGAGGGCCCTGACTCTGTGGCTCTGCCCCTGCAGCCAGCATGGGACTGGCGTGTGTCCCCCAGAGCCACAGGGCACATTTGTTTTATGAGTGAAAGCTGCCACGTATATCCCGAGTTAGGTACAGCCTCATCTCTGGACATGAGTATTTGTTAGATGCTTTCTTCTTAATTTTTACTACTTAAGGATATACCTGATCTTAAGGCTTTGTCAAGTTTTCCTTCTAAGTTTTTATGAAAGTGAAGCGTGGTAGTCATAGGTTTCTTCCAGCAAATGCTGTGTTCCTGCAGGCGAGCTGGGTCTGCAGCTCTACACTGGCTGCACGAGGCCTGTTCCTCTGGGCTGGGTTCAGTGGCCGCTCAGTCGTACAACAGCTGATGGTCTAAGGTCAGGACCCCCAGGGGGCAGCATTGCTCAGAGGGAGTGACAACTACCAGACTCAGGCCATGCATCATGTAATCCCAGCTACTCAGGAGGTTGAGGTCTGAGGATCCAAGTTCGAAGCCATCCAGGGCAAACAAAATCAAGAGATTCTTATCCCCTGTTCGCCAGTTAAAAGCTGTAAGGAAAGCTGTGACTCAAGGGGTAGCGTGCCAGGCTGGAGCAAAAGAAGGCTGAGAGAGAGCTAGGCCCACTACCAGAGAGAGAGAGAGAAAGACCCTTGTTTTCTGTTCTAAAAGGAATGGCCAGGTCACGGTGTGTCCAAGTGTAATACGTGTCAGCAGAATTTGTAGCAGAAGTGAAGTTGAACTGACACAGAGGGAATCCTCGGACAGATCGTGCCAAGGGCCGGGCCTCGCTTCTCTGGGATTGGTGGGGACGATTGCTCATGCGTGCCCTGTGCCTGTGTCTACACAGAGACTAGAAAGACAGGCCCTGGGTGTGTGTCCAGGACACAGGGGACCCCCCCCCCACGGGCTGCCATGCAGTGCTGTTCTCAGCTGGAGCTCAGACTCCACTGTGTGTGGTGAAGGCCCCGGGGTGCGGTGACCTCATAGCACCCCAAAGCTTGTTCCAGGCCGGTGAGGGAATGCCGATGGAGTAACTGTTCCTTTGGTCCCTTTGCAGTTTGACAAATACCCCACCAAGGTTGACCCCTTCTACCGGCACAGTGTGAGTCTCCCCCCATGCCCTGCCTCCATGTCACCGCACGCGTGTCTGTGTCCTTACCACCCCCCCACTCCCACCCCCCCCCCCCCCCCCCCAGTGTCGGCTCCCTGCGGCTCCTGTCTGTCACTCACCCGCTTTTGATAACCATGCAGTGTCTGCTTCAGAATCAAAAGACCCTAAGCACTTCCAAGATGCAGGGCACAATGGGATAGAAATCACAGTGTGTGTGTAGGGGGTGGGGGGGTGGGGTCTTTCCAGAAATGTGGGAGACTCCTGCAACTCTCACGAGAGTCTCAGGTCCTAGGCCCTGAGCTGTCCACTGCGACACCGTTACACAGAGCTCCTTAGACTGAGTCCCCGCCTGAGCACAGTAGAGAGCATCTCCCACAGGGCCGGACAGCCCCCCACGTTGAAATGAGCACAAGTCTCTTCTCTCTAGAGGCATTCTTTATTTTCTTCTAAAGAAGAAAAAAAAAAGAACTTATTTTACACAAATTTCAGACCATGTCCCGGAACTCAAATTGGTGCCAGCCTAAATTGTATGCGCAGGCCTTTCTGTGCAAGAGGCTCTCCGTGTGCAGAGGCTCCTAGGTGCCTCGCTGTGAGATTTTGGCGGCAGAGCGAATACTGCATGTTTTGTCTGAGATTGTGCATGTTTCCTTCACTTGGTTTTAAAAGCAAAACCAGAGAAAAGGGCAGAGTAATCACTAGAGCCATAGTGGTTTCCATGCACAGTGGTTTCAATGTTCTTAGGCAAGAGAGTAGCTGGGAAGTCAGGACTGGAACAGGTTGCAAATCAATGAAATAGTCTGCCATAGAAGTCTAAAAAGAACGAGAGGGAGACCTTAATAGAGAGTCAGAAGATGCACACTATGCTCACGCCTGTAGTCACAGCCACTCAGGAGTCTGAGATCTGAGGATCACCATTCCATGGGCAGCCCAAGCAGACTACTCCACAGTGAATCCGCAAAACGCTGGAAGAGGAGCTGTGGCTCAAGTGGTAGTGCTAGCCTTGAGGGGAAACACACACATGCACACACACACACACACGAGCAGGGAGCCCTGAGTTCAAGCCCCAAGTTTTTAAAAGAATTTGAAAAGTATGAACACTAAATTATACAAACAAAATCTACACACACACACACACACACACACACCGTTCTCTCTCCAGGTCTGCCTCCCACACAGCCCCTCTATGACAGACCCACAAACCAAAGTCACTGCTACAGGAAGTTTTCTGGGTGGGTCAGATGCTCAGTGCTCCCAAGTATAGGTGGAGAGCTGGCATGGAGGCGTGGGTCTCTGGAAAGCTCATGCTTCATTCCCGACAGACCCCACATCCTCAGGGAAGGGCGATGTGGTCAGTCCCAGCAGATTGTAGGAGGCTAGCAATCGCGAGAATGAAGGGGGTCAGCCAGCCAGAGTCAGAGCCCCAGCTGATCTCAGAGTGGTTGTAAAAGGCCCACTCGGAGACAGGGTGGGAAAAGGGTGAGCATTTTGGTATGGCGCGCGCGTGCGTGCATGTGGTTGTATGAGTGTGTGTGTGTGTGTGTGTGTGTGTGTGTGTGTGTGTGTGTGATTCCTCTGCTTTCTGAAGGAACTCTGGGAGTCCCTGCGTGTGAGGCATGATGGCGGGTGGAATGTGGAACACTCCAGTCTCTCCCCCAGTAGGAGATTAGGGTCTTATAAAGGAGAATTAAAATGCAGTGTGCTCAAGTATCTTAAACACAATTTTAGACTTTTTTAAAAGCGGTTTTAAATGAGGGCTCTTGGCTTGCAATCGCTGTTTAAGTGGATTTAGTTCAATATCAATTAGTCTGAAAACTTCACTTCCTCGTTGAAATGAACTCTGGGGCATTAAGCAGAACACATGCTCCCAAACAAGACAGGAGGGGCCGGCGGGAGCCCTGCTGGTGACCCATCGCAGCAGACACTAGACAGGGTAAAAGCTTATTAAGTTTTGTATCCTGGATGCACTACATGACCACGAGGTGGAAAGTTTACAGAAAGGCTATGGGATGTCTCTCAGAAATAATCCAAGCAGGGCATGGTGGCTCACACCTGTAATCCTAGCTGCCCAGGAAACTGAGATCTGAAAAGCCAGCTTCAACGCAAAGCTTAGGCAGACAAATCTTATCTCCAGTTAGCTGGCAAAAAGCCCCCGCAGAGCTGTGAATCAAGTAGAACAGTGCTGGCTTTGAGCAAAAAATCCAAAGGGAAAGACAGTACCCAGGCTCTCAGTTCAAGCCCTAGGACTGGCACAAGCAGAGGAAAATAACCTGTTTTTCAAGGAGGGAAGACATGTGCACTGTGTGTGCAGCCTGTGTTCATTCTCCCCTCATTATATCCTTCGTTTGTGAACCGTGGCATCATATACTTATCCCTTGCTCAGATCATCTGCCATTGAGTATTCAGAGTCTCAGGCCAGGCACGGCCGGGCGGTCAGCAGGGGCTGCTTCCTTCCCCTCCAGGTCACTTGCTGATCTGGCCACCAGGAGTCCCTTGCACATACAAAAGCAGTCTGGTACCTGTGGCCCAGGTGCCCTGTGAGTGATGTCTGCCCCGACTTCCAGCGCCCTGTGAGCTGCAGGAGTCACTGCTCCGTGGACAGCACACTGCCAGTCCCTTAGAGAGAAAAAAAAAAAAAAACACCAAAGTGTCCTGTGGAACTGCCTGGCAACCCTAATGATCTTCCCTTCTCAAACTATTAAAAAACCTAAAAGCACTAATTGAGTTTTAATGGTATAAAGACTCGCTTCTTATTCTTCCCCCCCCCGTTTTTTAAATCCTTTTCTTTCTAATTAACTTGTAATTTTCTGTGCATTGTCCCCAGCCTGCTCCCCTGTTTTCCTTGTCACTGTCACGATTTTTCTGCGTGTTAGGACCCCAGCCATTTACGACTCCGTGAGATTTACTGGTTAATAATTAGCAAAGCTCCCCGGGATGACGCCCTCACCTGGGACGCCATTTGTTGGCTGATTGATTCTGAGCTACTTTTAACTTTCTGAGTTCACCATTCATGGCACGTCTGTGTGATCGCTCCATCCGGCTTCTAATCGCCTTGCAGTGTGGCGAGGCTCTGGCGGCGGCGCTGGCTCTGTGGGTAGGGGTTGGCACGTCACTCACCTCTGGCTAAAACCATTTTCTCCCTCCTCTGTCTCTGGCCGCAGCTCTTCCATTCGTACCCACCCGCAGTGTCCGGCATCCCCCCCATGGTCACGCCCGCTGGCCCCTTCGGCTCCCTGCAGGGAGCCTTCCAGCCCAAGGTAAGATCTCGTTCAGAGGGACACGGGGTTTGCTGCCCTGTAGGGCCCATGCCAGCCTGGGGGGTCTGTTCCCTGGTCTGCACAGCAACCCATTTGCCAAAGTCAGCGTGGAGATGAGAACGGTGGGCTTTCCTTCTAGTCTGTCCAGTCTGAGGAATACAGCTTTCCACCTGTCTTCATTGAGCTGAGATTTTCAATCTCCTTAAAACATTCCGACTCCAAATGTACAATGTATAACATGTAAGAGACACCTATATACATACACATATACATACTGTATATGAATTTGCATATATATGCAGTAGTGTTTTTGTGTATACATGCATTCAGATACTGTAGTGTGTTTATATATAGGTGTTTTATGTGGACGCAAACACATACACACCTATATACTGCATATATTCTATATATTTGTGTGTATGTATAATACATACATAGGGTTGGGGGCATGATTCAGTTGGTAGAGCACTAGCCAATGAATAAAAAGGAAGTATACGCTTACACATGTAGATACTGTACATTATTGATGTGTGGACACATGTAGTTACTATAGATTGTATGCTTGTATATGTATCTAATACATATATATATAAAGACCATATTATATATTGATATGAATAGATGATAGATAGATAGACAGACAGACAGACAGATGGACAAGTACCATATACGTATTGGAATTGGATAAGCGTCAGATCAAGAATTCTGTGACGCGTCAGACATGCCGGCACCATGTTGTCCTTAAGGTAGCCATGATTAGCAAAGATAAACCTCAATCACATTGATTGGCATTGATTCTGTGGAACAATGGTTTTATTGATTTCTCCTCGCTGATTTTAATGAGGCAGAATTAAATCCCACATAAAGCCCCATCTTGTTCCTGGTGTCTGGGAAGAGGGCAGGCTCCCTGGTCTTTGCTGGCCTGGTCTGTACACAGGGCCGGCCCTGCTGTCTGCTCCGTCATCTCCTCACCCCACACCATGGCCACACTCACATCCACAAGGCTTAGCCGCTAGTTCTGGCGCCCTAGATCTGAATGAACCTTTTGCCCTCAATGACAGCTGACATCTATCTCGTACAAGCGGAGTTCTCTATAAAGGTCAGTCTTCAGGAGAGCGTGGCTCTATTTTACTTGATACCATTGTTTTCCTGTGTATGATTTTGGGTACCCCCAGCTGTGCCAGTCTGGGGCCAAGAACGTCAGGCACAACACCCAGGGCTCTTCCAGAGCAGGAAGCCGGGGGGGGGGCGGGGGGAGGTACAAGGCCCTGGGCTGCAGGCAGAATCTCACCAGAGAATCTCAGCCTGCACCTCAGGTCCACACACACCACTCAGGGTGTGTGTACCCCAGCCCAAGACAAAAATGACTTCTTTACTCCTCCATGTCAGTCTACTCTTGAGGTACTCCCTTCTACCCCGGACCCACCCCACTAGGTAGGGACAGGTCCCTCGTGCTCCCCCAACCAGCCCAGGAGGTCATTTAATAAATTAGACTGTTTCCCTCAGTCACAATTAGCCAGCCATACAGAAAACTACATCTGGGCAGAAGAGTGTCTCTCCTGGTGTTAGAAATAGCCTTGGTAGGCCCTCCTGATTGAATATGTAGATTGCAGTTCATTAGCAGAGTTCTTCATATGTATGCTAATCAGCTTCTAACAACTCCTGCTTAATTGTTAGCTGTACAGCTGCTGATTGCTTTTCTTTCTTGCCTTCTTCCCTTTTTTTTTTTCTTCCCTCCTTTTCCTCCCAAGCTTCATGCCTAAACAGGAGCTCTTCTTCCACAGGAGTTAATTGTGTGTGTGTGTGTGTGAGAGAGAGAGAGAGAGAGAGAGAGAGACACTTGTACAAATTGTGACTTACTAAATAAAATAACTAGTGTCATTTTTAAGTCCTTTTCCAAGCAGCCTAAAGTAGGCTTTTCGTTCTTCATTCAGCATGAAAGCTAATGTTGTTGGTGATATTTAAGAACGATATTTTGAATCGGAAAGACAAAAGCAGCATTTAATGGTAGATCGGAGTGGACCCTAAATTAGTTTCTCTTGTCCTGTTCCTGCCACTGCTAATGGCTCATTACAGAGTGTAATTTCTGGTTATTGTCTGCCTGTTAAAATTTCGAGTTAGCTTAATGTCTATAAAAATACTCTCAGCCATTCTGATGAGAAGCACCTGATTCTGTAAATGGCAACACACACAAGCATTTCTTTGGAGGCAAGAAGAAAAGGATGAGTGCACACCCAGAGGACGGTGGCAGGGCACGTTCCACGGTCCTTTCTCAGTCCTGGGCTTTACATGGCAGAAGAATGTTCTGGACTGCCTCTTTGCTTTAGAAGCCATGGACAGAGGGAGAATCCTCTGGAGAAAATGATGGGGTGCAGTTCAGAAGGGGCCATGCAGACAAATGAAGTTTCATGTCTCTTGGAGTGGGGGGGGGGGAGAAGGGGGCAGCCCTGGCTTGCATGGCCGTGTTCCATGCTTCTAAGTGTGGTCTCATTCCTTTGCAGACATCCAACCCCATCGACGTGGCAGCCCGGCCTGGGACCGTCCCACACACCTTGCTCCAGAAAGACCCAAGAGTATGTGCAGCCAATGGTCCCCAGTAACACCGCCCCTGCCCCCAGGCCTTACCCCGCAAATACCTGTCAGGCACAAAGCCATGTGGCCTGAGCCCACAGCCTGATCCAGGCTGCCCAGGCTGCTCTGTCATCCACGCCTGGAGTCCAGACATCTCCAGTGGAAAATAACAAAGCCGTTTTTGTTTCTGTTTTTTTTCTTTTTACATACTGGTCCTGGGGAACTTGAACTCAGAGCCTCCTGCTCTCCTTTGGCTTTTTCACTGAAGGCTGGCACTCTACCACTTGGCCCACACCTCTGTTTCCAGCTTTTTGATGGTTCATTGGAGATAGTCTCACAGACTTTTCCTCTGATCTCAGCCTCCTGAATAGCCTAGATGACCGGTGTGAACTGCTGATGCCCGCGCTGAGTGTTTTCCTTCCTGGAAGTCAGGGCTCATCTCCCTTGTCTGGTGCTGGACCAGCCTGTCCGTGTGCTTCCTGTTCTTAATGTGCCCAGGGGCCTTCACACTCTACCGCTACACAAAATAGCCATGGCGCTTTGGTTATGTTTGTTACTAATCATACATAGCAAAGTTACATAATAGTTTGGATGGCTCTCTGGGTTCATCTTTATAGTATTTGGTTACCTTTAGTGATGCCTTCTTTTTTCCTGTGTGAGACTAGTCAGAAATGGATGGCCAATGTTGGGCAGAGGGCAGCATGTGTTCACGGCAGGAGGCGGGAGCTCTCCAAGCACGTGTGGGTGATGCATGGGTTATTGCAGGGAGCCTGGCTTCAGTGTGGGATACAGCTGTCTAGTGTCCCTCATGTCCAGGCCCAGTGAGGCCTCACCTGGTACAGACAGGAAGAGTCACTGGAGATGGGGTCCCTCACAATGCATGGCTACGGGGAGCCCAGTCCCTGGTGCAGTGTGATGTCCCGGGGCCTTGGGGTGGGGGAGGGGACCCTTGGCACTTTTGATAGTGTGAAAATGAGTTAATTATTCTCTAAAAGGGCTTCATTTAAAAGTAAAATTCTAACATTTTAATTTCCCCTCCTAATGAAGCACTACAAATTTGTTAATTAGAGCAATTGTTTGAGTGACAGGCGTGTAACCGAGTTGTCGTTTTCTCTTCACAGCTGACAGATCCTTTCAGACCCATGCTGAGGGTAAGGTGCAGTTTCAGACCTGTCTTTGCAGCCTCTGTTTGACTCCCAAGGGCTAAAAACACCCCTATACCGAGGAGGTCCACGGGATGTGCCCATACGGGTCACATGACTGCACAGGGCCCAAGGTGTTCTAGGAAGTCAGGCCGCTCACTGGCTTTTCCATGAATGTAACAGATGAAATTCAACCAAGTCAGACCTTCTGAGACAGACAAACCAGACTAAGATTCAGGATCCCCCTATCACAGCCTTCTGAGTGCTGGAATTACAGACATGTACTACCAGGCCCAGCTACAACTCAGTCAGATCCTGTCCTTAGCAGGTCTAGTCAGTCTGTAGGCTGATGTTAGTCTCTGTCTGGAATCTCTTTATTTGGGCAGGTAGCTATTCTTTGAGTAGTAGACACAGAAAAAGAGATGTTGTAGCGTTGGTTCAATCACATTGTATTGAAAGCAAAGTGTTCCTGCAGTCCTGAACCTGGTACTGATGGTAAAGGGCTGGGGCAGAGATGGAGGTGAAGAAGATGGTGGGAATGAGTGACCCGTACTCAGTCACAAGAGAGGAGAGCTGGCCCAGGACTCTTCCTGTCCATGCAGAAAGCAGAGGCTCCTGCCCTTGGTGATGCAGGTGGTGAGGGTGGAGCCCCTGGCAGATGGACGCAATTCTGTAGGTGATAAAGAGAATGCACTGTGTACCCCACCAGCGTGGATGGAGAGCTGTGCCACAGGAGGAGGAAGCCTCCCTCCATACTTGTTCTCTCTTAGAGGAAGCCTCCCCCCTGCTTGTTCTCTCTTAGAAGTACACAGCGCCCACAGCAGGAACTGGTCCTGGGTCTTGGGGGCCTTAGCGACCTTAGGCTACAATAAAAAACATCCTGAATTTCTTAGGCTAGCGGACATCGACCTTGGGCACCCAGAGCCCAGGCCCTGCCTGCAGGCCATGGTCCTACATTAGCTCTGCTCAGTGCCTGGTTTACTGAGTAGCATTTGCCAAGTAGAACCACCCCTGCCCAGCCTACTGGCTGGTACAGGAAGAGACAGAGAGGCAGACACAGACATATACACACACAGACATACAGACAGACCAGTGGGTACACAGGGACAGACAGACGCGGACACGCATAGACACACATAGAAACACACAGACATGCACACAGTGTGGTCGGGCTTGTCCCATCCCCTTACATCCTAGCCCAGGGTGGGAACTGGCTCTGTCCCCTGGCTGGGTCCAGGGGGAAGCAGCAGGAGGCTCCTCCTTCCGCAGTGTCTTCCCCTGACCCATGTCTTCCCTTCCCCCCCGCAGAAACCCGGGAAGTGGTGCGCCATGCACGTGCACATCGCCTGGCAGATTTACCATCACCAGCAGAAAGTGAAGGTTAGAGCTGGGGTGGGGGTGTGGTGTGGTGGGTGTGGTCTGTGGTAGGCTGGGTCTTCGGGGGTGGGGCCTGGATGGGCGTGGTCTGTACTGAGTGGGGTCTGCCAGGGACCAGGAGGGAAGAACGAGGCAGCTTTGGACCAGCTACTCAGAATTCTCCCTGCTACCCAGCAACTTCAGGAAATTACAAAACTCAAACAAATGGATGATTTCCTGGTGTGATTTTTTTTCCTTTCCAGTGATTTTATCATCTTACGGATTAAAAGGCTAAAATATGGAATGAGCCCCAAAATAAAAATATTGGAAACCTAGGTATAATGATCAAAAATGATAAAAGATAAAAGATACTTAAGCAGAGAGAAACTCATGGTGTTTCTGAAAATTGTTGTTTTGTTTTGTTTTGTCAGTTGTGGGCCTTGAACTCGGAGCCTGGGCGCTGTCCCTGAGCTTTTTTGCTCAAGGCTAGTGCTCTGCCACTTTGAGCCACAGCTCCACTTCTGGTTTTTGAAGCAATTAATTGAAGATCAGAGTTTCATGGATTTTTCTGCCCAAACTGGATCAAGTCTCAGCCCCCTGAGTATCTAAGATTACTGGCTTGGACCACCAGCTCCCAGCTAATAATTTTTCTAATAACACTGTGATTAGCCCAGTGCCTCACACCTGTAATCCTAGTACTCACAAGGCTGAGATCTAAGGATCAAGGTTTAAAGCCAGCCCATGCAGGAAAGTCTATGAGACTCTAACTCTACTCAGAAAAAGTCAGAAGTGGCGCTGTGGCTGAAGTGGTAGAGCACTAGCCTTGAACACAAAAGCTAAGGGACAACAATCCCAGGCTCTTGAGTTCAATTCCCAGAGCCTACACAAAAAACAACAGGAATAATAACAGTGTGTTGTTTTCATTTGACAGCTTGAAGAAGTGAGAATTTTATACTATACAGTGATAATTCTGTGCATCCATTAGCAGGGCATGTAGTTAACAGTGATCCTTCTAGAAAATAGTGTTCAAATTGGCCAGTATATGGCCAGTGGCGGTGTTCACATCTGCCATTGTGACGTGGTAAACCCAGTGCCTCAGGCTTATAATCTGAGCTACTTAAGAGGCTGATATTTGAGAGTTGAAGTTCAAAGCCAGCCCGGTCAGGGAAGTCTGTGGGACTTCATTTCCAGTTGACCAGCAAAAGCTGGATGGAAGGCATGGCTCAACCACCACCAGTGAAAATGGTGCATAAGCAAGAGGAACGTTGATAGTTCAGGGATAGTTCTTTTAATAGGTCAGTGATTCCAGACAGAGCAAGAGCTATTGTGCATTGGCTCCCAGACACCTGCTCTTCCTCCTCACACCCCTCCAGTGAGCTTTGTTCACTTCTCCTATGTCGTTAGGCAGGGTCTAATTGGGAACCTCGCACTTCAGCTCAGCCAGGAGATGGGACGCAGCAGGAAGCACCAGGCACATTGTGCTGATGAGCTCGATTCTCCGTGGGTTCTCACAGAACAGCGGGTGGGATGGGACCTCCTCTCCCCCGGGCTCTGAAGCCACAGAAGATGCTCGGTGCTACTCCAGCAAGTTCTTTCCCAGAAAAGGCCCTGGTGACTTCCACTTCTATTATCCCATTCCATTACGCCCCTTGAGCTAGGCACCCAGCCTCCATCTCAGAGCTCAGTAATTCCCAAGCTCTGCTCTGCTCCACGGGCCTAAGTTGTATTTAATGGAGCTATGCCACGCGCTGTGCAGTATTAACACTAAATAATTTGGCAACCAGAATTAAGGAAACAAAAGGATTTTTTTTTTACTAGATTTATAGTGAATTAGAAGCATGGTGGGGGCTGGCTGTTGTGTGTGATGAGGTTTTCATGGTAGGGTTCCCTGTAGAATTGAGCAGAGTTCCCTCAACCTCCTTTGTCTTGGATATTAATTTACTTTTTTTTAACCAGTATTAGGACTTGAACTCAGGGCCTAGGCACTTCCTCTTAGCTTTTTCTGACCAACACTGGCATTCTACCACTTGAGCTGCAGCAGCTCCACTTCCAACTTTTTGCTTGTTAGTTGGAGATAGAATCACAGACTTTTCTGCTCTGGCTGGTTTTGAAACATGATCCTCAGATCTCAGCCTCCTGAGTGGCTGGGATGACAGGTGTGAGCCCCTGGAGTCTGTGGGCTACTTCCTGTGCCAGGCCAGGGGGAACCCAAGTCTTATTAAGTCTTTCCTGCTGTCTAGTCTCAAGGCTGGGGAAATAGCAGTGATCAGAGTGCTGGGTTTTGGTGTGGCTCTCAGCACAAGGTGCTAGGGTATGCTGCTGTCTAAATTGGGTGATAAACTCATGGGGGGGTGACCTGCAGCAAGGAGGGATGGTCTCCAGCCCCTATACTACACTATGGCTTTGTGGGTACCCCTTCACCCACTTTCTCAGCTGGACCTCAAGATGGGGATGTCCTAGCATTTGAGAGGGATAAGTTTGGGAGAAGTGGGACAGAAAGAGGCAGAAGCAGGCTGGGGCGGAAAAGGCCTCGTGGGATTCCAGGGTCCTCATGGCTGTGGACACGGGAACCTGAGTCCAGAGGAGGTAGTAGAGGATCCAGAAGCCTTGCAGCCTCCATTGTGCTAGCTCCCTAGCACAATTAGCTCAGGGTGGATGGGAGTCAGTGGGCTGTGCTGGCACTGGGTGAGAAGGTCTTGATGGTCCTCTGGTCTCAGCTGACTTCTCCTTCTTCAGGTAATGAAGGGTGATGGATAGGAGGAGGAAAGGGCCCTGTCCATTAAACTGATCATCCTCCGTTTTCATGTATTTTTCTTATAACAATGAGCCTTTGAAAATTAGCTTGAAGGCTTGCAAATACTTCCTCCTTGCATTCAGTTACCAATGTGTCATGTGTTCTCCTGCAGTCATTACACAGCAGATTACCGTACAGAAAGAAGCTCCTAATAAAATGAGCTTCTAAGCAATTTATCATTTGTGCATGTGTGAAGACATATGTGCACATACATGTTCATGTACCAGTTCTGGGGCTTGAACTCAGGACCCGGGCACTGCTCCTGAATTTTTTGTTCAAGGTTGGCACTCTACCACATTCTTCTACGTCTTTCTAACCTGCCCTGCGTGTCTTCTTCTTGCTCTAGAAACAGATGCAGTCAGACCCACACAAGCTGGATTTCGGCCTAAAGCCTGAGTTCCTGAGCCGCCCGCCCGGCCCCAGTCTCTTTGGAGCCATCCACCATCCCCACGACCTGGCACGGCCTTCTACTTTATTCTCTGCCGCTGGTAAGTCCCAAGGGGTCGAGGCCTGCCGGATGAGGCCGCCCAGAGAGGCTAAGCGCACTGCCTGGTCCCTGTGCCCATCTGCTACTCTCGCCTCTGCGAGGAGAGGCATTTCCGCTCGCACACAGCCAGCATGTGGAGGGAACTGGCGTTTCCTCCCACTGCAGAAGGAAGACAGGCCCCTCCCCCGGTGGGATTGGCACTGCTTGGCTTTATCATTGGCGGCTTTGTTGACGTGACAGCCCCCAAGCTTGTCAGCGCATATTGGAAAAGAGCAGAAAGTTCACCAGGGCAGAATTATCCAGAACACAGTGCCCACATCTAGGTGCCCATGGAGCACTGGGTCACTCTGCACACAACAGCCTCAGTGAGTGACAGGCTGTAAGGACAAACACAAGCAAGACAGACCTGTGGTAGGGAAGGGGCTGCGGGCTTCTGGCTGGCCAATTACAGCAGTGCGGGAATTCAGGGCCACCCTCTCCTGCTGGGGTCATGGGACCTGTGCGTTCAGTCTCTGGTTTGTTCACCTCTGTACTCTGTATACATCCTCCCCGCCCCCCATCTGTGGTCTGGGGAAGGGTGCATTGGGGAGGGGAAGCCTGGAAGAGGAACTACAGAGGACCATCCTGTCCTTTCCAGGACTCTGTACCTCCCACCCTCCTCCCTTCAAAGCAGGGCCTCTTGGTGTGGCATCCCTGTCTGATCTCTTCCAAGACTGAGGGTATGGTCCATGGCCCAGAGCTCTGCTCAGTAAATAACTAAAGATAGCACCTATTTGAGTACCTGAGTCTCTAATTCACATGGAGTTCATTTCTTTTCTCTCTCTCTCTTTTTTTTTTTTTTTTTTGGCCAGTCCTGGGGCTTGAACTCAGGGCCTGGGTGCTGTCCCTGAGCTTCTTTTGCTCAAGGCTAGCACTCTACCGCTTGAGCCACAGCTCCGCTTCCAGCGTTTTCTGTTTATGTGGTACTGAGGAATCGAACCCAGGGCTTCATGCATACTAGGCAAACACTCTACCACTGAACCACCTTCTCAGCCCTGGGGAGCTCATTTCTATAGCAAATTCTGTTCCCCTTCATGACCCTCTGCCCACCCAGACCAAGTGCCCCTCCCTTCCCTCCTGCCCTCCAGCCACCTTCCACAGTCTCACCCACCGCTCACTGTTGGTGGTCCCATGTACCCAAAAGGCAAGAAATCCTCATCATTTCCTCCACTCCAGGACCCAGCCTCCTTGTCAGTTCTACTGGGGGACATATTGTGGGTCTCAGTTGCCATGGCTCCTAGCTCTAAGACAGGGCTATGTGAAGAGCCGATTTGGAGAGAAATCAAGAATTTCCTCCCTGACTTTCACTGGAGCCAAGGGGGTGAATTGGCTGCTTCTGCTTCAGTAATTCTGGAACTGTGAGCCTCCCTGGGGCCATGGCTGTGAGCAGCTCTGGTCTCATTGAAGCTGTAATTAGCTTGTAGCACACCGAGGGAGTGTGGCTAAAACTGTAGCCTGAGGCAGTTAAGGCCTTGACCCAGTTGGAGAGTAGGCGTGGCTATGGGGTGGGCAAGGCTGTTGAATGGTTCTAAGCTGAAGAAGGCAGTAGTGTTGAATGGTTCTAAGCTGAAGAAGGCAGTAGCTGTATTGTGGACGTGACGTGGGGTGGGGGGCATGGGTGCTGGTGTAGGGTGGGTGTGGCTTCTTTGGTGGAGTCTTGGGGCCCTAACCAGGGCTGGGTGGAGACCTCTTGGGCATCTCCGTGAGCATAGCCTGTGCCCTCCGTGCATGGACTATGCACCTGTGGCTTCCTCTGCTAACGGAGGCCTACAGGGCTTGAGCAGGCCAACGACCAGGGCTGAGAAGTGGCACTGAGTGTCACCAACGCCCACACCCATCCCCATTCTCAAGCACAGGTGAGGACTTAGACACTGCACAGGAGCCCTAAAACGTGAGTCCCGGCCCTGTTTGTCTCTCCATTCTGGGAGGTCGTCTTTGTGCCTTAGCATCACTGGACTTTATCCAGAATGGTTAGTTGGTGAAGCCTTGAGCTGGTATTTGTAACACATACATACTTGTCATATTCAGCCACTTTCCTCTGCTTTGGGGATGAAATCGTGAAATAAAGAGAAGCACCTCCTAATGCTGAGCTGCCTGTTCACGAGTTGGAAATGGGGTCCTTTGCCGACGGCTGGTGGCTTACACCTGTAATCCCAGCTACTTGGAAAGCTGTGTTTAAGATCACAGTTCAAAGCCAGTTCAGGCAGAGAGGCTCATAGTAAGCATATAAAATGTCTGAAGGGAAATGGAAGGAAGGAAGGCAGAGCAGACTAAATGGAAGTGGAGGAACAGACTGGCCTCACCTGTGCTGGACGTTGAGGGGCCTCGTGTGCCTTCCTTCCCGTGCTCTGGGGTTACTCCCAGCAGCCAGTTTCACCTTGGCAAAGGTGCCTTTGCGTGACACCAACAGCACACTCCAAGAGAAGGGAACGCCACGTGCCAAGGCCCTGGGCATTGCAGCCATGGGCAGCTCGAGACAGTGCCTTTGGAACTGGCACTGAGGGGCACATGTCTGCAGACTGACATGTCCGTGGCAGGAGTTGCTGTTCTTACGCTGAGAGGCATTGGAAGTCACAAGAAGTCACTCAGTTGTGGACGGCACGGTAGCCTGGTTTTTCTGACTTCCTTCCGCATCATGCCTTGTTCGTGATATGAGCTGCCCTGCTCGGGGCAACGGGCAGTTTGTCCTCTGCTTCTGCATATAGGCATGCCAGGGGGTCCCCACTGTGTCGGTGCCGGGGTACCTGCAGGGGCCTGGGCTCTCGGCAGCCATTCCTTTCCACCCATTTCCCTGTGGCCTCCTGAAGTCAGCGGTGTGCTCGCCTCATGCGGGGCAGGCTTTGTGTCATCTGATTTCATTGTGTTGGACCCACAGGTGCTGCACATCCGGCCGGGACCCCGTTCGGACCGCCCCCCCATCACGGCAACTTCCTTAACCCTGCCGCTCATCTGGGTGAGCTGCCCGTCAGCCATGGGATGATGGGATCTGCTGGGTGCTGGCTAGGGTGTCCCCGCAGTGCTGGGTGCTGGCCAGCCCCGGGCAAAGCATAGATCCAAAGTAAAAGGGGCTGGGACAGGGCTCACATGTCCCAGACAGGCCAAGTTCAGGCCCTGGCACAGAAGGGTACGCAGGGGGCAGGGCTTGGCACACAGGGCCTTGACATCCCCTCCCCCACCCCACACAGAGCCCTTCAACCGCCCATCCACGTTCACCGGCCTGGCCGCAGTCGGGGGCAACGCCTTCGGAGGACTCGGGAACCCCTCTGTCAGTGAGTACTGCCCTCCCTCACCCTGGGCCTAGCTCTGGGGAGCTGGCCACTTACTGTGTGCTGAGGAACTTAAGTTCACACCTTCATCCTATTCCAGCTCCAGGTCGAAATTCCATCTTACACAGGCCAGGTGCTGGTGGCTCACACCTGTCATCCTAGCGACTCAGAAGGCTGAGAGCTGAGGATCACGGTTCAAAGCCAGCCCGGGCAGGAAAGTCTGTGAGACTGATCTCCAATGAACCAGCAACAAGCTGGAAGTGGAGCTGTGGCTCAATGGGTTGAGCACCAGCCTTGAGCAAAGATGCCAAGGCAGAATACAGGGCCCTGAACTCGAGCCTACTACTGGCACCAAAACCAAATAAATAACACAGTAGAACTCTGGCCTGCCTTTGCGGGGTAGGGTGGAACTGTGCCAGGAGAAACCCACGCTGCACAGGCCTGGCCTGTACAGCAAGATGGAGGTGTTCACCGTGTTCCCCTCTGCAAATCACGGTCACTGGAAACTCCATGGAGTTTTGCATGCTTGGTTTCCTGGGGAGGAGGGGAGAGGGGGGGGGCGGGTTCCAGGTGGCATTCAACATGCTGTATGCTCCCAAACCACAGGTGATTTCCACTTAAGAAACAGCGTGGCAGAGAGCAAGGCTCCGGGATTAAGAACCACACTGCTCTGCACATGGCTAGAAATCTTACGTGCCCCCCCCACACACACCCCGGCCTGTGCAGCCAGCCGAGCCCCACATCCATCTTGGGTTAAAAAGAAAACTGAACTAGCTTGCAGGCGGGCGAGAATTCCTCTAATGTGTCTGTCAATGTTTCCTTTTCCAGCTCCCAGTAATATGTATTCATTTTAAGTCTGGGTGCTGTTTACAGTGTTTTGGTAAGTACCCCATGACAGCAGAGCCTATAATTTCTCTTCCATTTTTGTTCTCCACTTGACCATTTCAGCTCCCAACTCAGTGTTCGGCCACAAGGATGGCCCCAGTGTGCCGAGCTTTAGCCCTCATGAGCCCTGGAACCGGCTGCAGCGGACGCCCGCGTCGTTCCCGACCCCTCCGCCCTGGCTGAAGCCAGGGGAGCTGGAGCGCAGCGCGTCTGCTGCAGCTCATGACAGAGATAGAGACATAGATAAACGAGACTCATCTGTTAGTAAGGATGACAAAGAAAGGTATGGAAAGAAACGGTCCTCCAGCCCTGTGGGGGAGCCCCACCTTGCCAAGCCGAGCCGGCAGAGCCAGCAGGGCCGGCTGCCCACCCTCCGGTCCCAGCCCCGGGCTTCAGCCGCCCACTGTCATCCCAGCCCCTCCCCCGACTGGCCCCAGGGTCCACACCCTGTGCACGGCGCCCTGGGTGTCTGGCCACACACACTGAGTCAGGACCACAGCCTCCAAGTAGCAGGGACCCTCAGGACACTAGAGTCCCCCAGGCTAGAGTCCAGGAGCCCTTCCTAGAGACGGCCAGCTGGAGTAGGCCGAACACACATGGCATGAATCACGTTTGCGTTCCGATCCCTCCAGAGTCCATCCAGTCATCCCTGGGCTCTGCTCTCCCTCCTCCCCCCCTCCCCTTCCTCTCCCTTTTTGTTTTGGTTTATTATTTGCTTTTACAAAGTCATGTTTGCCATTCCTGCCACACGCTCCTCATATTTTTCTCCAGTTTTGTTCAAACTCAAATTCTGGGGCTCACAGGTGAACAGTAAAATTTTTATTAACCTAAAGGAGGAACGTCAACTTGGGGGTGGGGGAGTGCGGGTGGATAATTCCTTTCCGTAACCTTGCTACTAATCCCTGCCTGGAATAATGACCCCAGGAAGGATCCCAGGACTGCCCTGAGCCTTCTTGAGAAATCCTCCTCCCATCCGTCTGTCTAGCCTTCTATCTGTCCATCCTTTTTTTTTTTTTTTTTTTTTAAGCTGGTCTTGGGGCTGAAACTCAGAGCCTAGGCACTGTCCCTGAGCTTTTCACTCAGCTGGTGCTCTACCCCTTGAGAACAGTTCCACTTCTGGCTTCTTTTTGGCCATTTATTGGAGAAAAGAATCAACAGGCTTTCTTGCCTAGGGTGGCTTCCAACTGTGATCCTCCAGTCTCGGCCTCCTGAGGGGCTAGGATGACGGGGGTGAGCTGCTGGTGGCTGGCCTTGGTTGCTTTCTTACAAACGAGCAGGCAGATTTCCCTGCAAGGTGCTGTGGCGCACATAGGTTTGCCAGTGGAGAGCATGTCCACAGCTGCTCTGGGCTGTCCACAGCCCCGAGCCCCACAGTGCTTAGGCCGCACACCCTGCCGTTTCCTGATGGAGCTAAAGCCGCTGTTGGGTGGGAGCTGGGACTCAGAACTGAAGCTATGCTCCCTTCTTTCCCGTGGGCCTCTGCACAGCCCCTTATGGCCTCATGGCCTCTGATCCGGCTTCCTTTCCTTCTGTTGTTGGGCCTGGCCGGCCAGTGCTCTCTTTATTCTCTGCCTGATTCTTTGTCCCATATTCCTCTCTGCCTGGCCCAGTTGAGCCCCCCCCCTAGATGCCACCCTCTGGCCGGGCTCCTGTGTCTCCCCCACCCTTGTCCTCATGCCGAGGGATCGGGTCAGATCCTGCCCCTCACCCAGGTCGGGAGCTCTGTGGGAGCTCTGCGCTGGGCCCCAGGACCTTTTCCACCCCTCCCTGCCCTTGGAACTGGCTTTGAGCTCTTGGAAACATCTTGTCTGCTAGCCTGCACTCCCTCTCCGCCCTCCTGTACCTTGGCCTGGGCAACGACGCCCCCACCCCACCCCTACCCATCGCC